AATTTTTTATCTATCTCAGGTTATTCCCATTTCAGGTTAAGAAAAACTCTTCCGTTGGTAATTTGACAATGCTTTTTTTCCTTATATTTTTCCTTCTAAATCAAAAGTTAGGTTTTCATTTTGATCAGGCATGAATAAAAATAAAATCCTATTTATGTTGAATGCTAGTTAGTTTTCCAATTGAGGTTTGAGGTTAGATTTCTAGATTTTTCAAATTCATGTATCCATGAATGATACTTCAAAATTTTAGGGCTGGAGACCCCAAGAAAAGGGGGAAATAGCAGAATCAAACTGTTTTTATCAAAACTGAGGCACCGTCAATTTTGTGGAACTTTTATTATTTTTTCTGTAATCTGATGGGGTTTTTTCTTCTACAATCAATCAATTTAGTCTACATACCTTACCATCCTCCCCCAGAGCAACAAACCCAGGTGGTTGCTCCATATATACCTAATTGCCAGGGAAATTAAGACACAGACTAAGCTAATCTTTGCCACTGGAGAGAAGGTCTCCGTATAGTCCACCCCATACAACTGAAAATAACCTTTAACAAGAAGTCGAGTCTTCAAACGCTCCACACTGCCATCCGGCAAGTATTTAACAATATACACCCATTTACAACCCACAACATGCTTACCTGGAAGAAGAGTGGTGAGTTTCCACATGTGAGTACACTTAAGAGCAGAGAATTCCTCCTCCGTTGCTTGACGCCACCCGGGTGAAGTAAGAGCCTCCTGAACATCCTTAGGTATAGAGATAGATGACAATAGAGAAACAAACTGTCGATGTAAAACGGAAATGTGAGAGACTAAAACAAAATTAGAAATGGGATGTAGGGTACAACTACGTTTACCTTTCCGTAAAGCAATGGGAAGATCAAGCTCGGAAGATTCTGGGACAAGAGCAACAACAAGATCCATAGACAAGGTAAAAGTCAGAGGAGGTGCCGGTGTCTGTCGACGAGCATACACGTACCGGATCGGTGGTCGTTTAGTAGGAATCTGCACTAGAGGAGATGAAAGTTCAGCCCCAACTGGAACAACCAAAACGGGATCACGGACTGGAAGAGGGAGAGGAAGCGAAGGTGGGGATAACGAAATTTCAGGTCCTGAGAAGAATGGAACGGACTCGAAAAAAGTAACATCAAGACAGACATAGAACTTCCGAGTAATGGGATTGTAACATTTATACCCTTTCTGGGTCCAAGAGTAGCCAAGAAAGATACACTTAATAGAGCGTGCATCCAACTTGTCTAACCTAGGACTCAGATTATGAACAAAGCACACATAGCCAAAGACTCGGGGTGTTAATGGAAAGGGAGACAAGGTGGGGAACAAAATAGAAAAGGGAAACCGACCATGAAGGACGAAGGAGAGCATCCGATTAATAAGGAAACAAGCAGTAAGCACAGTGTCACTCTAAAATCGTTTAGGAACACTCGTATGATGAAGAATAGACCGAGCAGTTTCAAAGAGATGACGGTTCTCTCGTTCGGCCACCCCACTTTGCTGAGGGGTGGATGCACATGAAGTTTAATGAATGATGCCATGTTGTTCTAAACACTGTTGAAAAGAAGTGAGGAACTATTCATGACCATTATCTGAACGAAGAACTTTGATTGGAACACCAAATTGCGTACATATTTCAGCATGGAATTTTTTAAAAATGAAAAATAATTCACTCCTTTCTTTCATTAAATAAATCAATGTCATCCTTGAACAATCATTAATAAAAGTGACAAAATACTTGTAACCATTATAAGACTCTATTTTAATCGGACCCCAAACATTTGAATGAACTAAAGCAAAAGGACTCAACATACGACTATCAATTCTAGGACTGAAGGAAAACTGATGGTGTTTCCCATATTGACATGACTCACACTGTAAAGACGACAAATGACTCAAAGACGGAACCAGTATCTTGAGTGCTTTGAGGGATGGATGTCCCAACCGACAATGCCATTGTAGAGGAGTGAGGGAAGTCTAAAGTTCAACTGACGATCCACCATCGTCAAGATAATACAATCCATCGACTTCATGCCCTCCACCAATCTTCTTCCCAGTCTTGAGATCCTGAAAAACACAAAATGAAGGGAAAATGTAATAAAGAGATGTCGTGTCAACATAAGATTGAATGGAAATTTAGGTACATATAAGAACAGATGATAATGAAAGAGATGTCGTGTCAACATTACCAACACCACATATGGGAGAAGAGAAATCGTTGACAAGGGAGATAGTTTGAGATGTGAAAGTTTCAAGGGAAGAGAATACACTTGGAGTCCCGGTCATGTGATAGAGGCTCTAGAGTCAATAATACAGGGAGAGGGTTTGGATGCCAAACAAGCTATACCTGAGTGAGCAAGGGTGGTTGTAGTATGTTGTGAAGTAGCCTAAAGGAACCTCTCATACTCATCGCGCGGTACACTCATCATCTCCTTCCCGAAAACAAATGTAAATGTGGAAGGTGTGAGATCTAGCTGTTGGTTATCACTGACATCAACCCCACCAGCTACTGCATGATTAGCCCATGTAAAAGGTGGGCCATGGAGATCATAACAAAAATTCACTGAATGTCCTTCCCTGCCACAATGGGTATACTTCCTAGTAGAGTTACCTTTTCCTTTACCATGGCCTCCCCCTGAGTCACAACCACCACCACGGCCAAACATGGAACCACCACCACGGCCAAACATGGAACCACCACAACCTCCTCGAGATCCATGTCCTCCCCCTCTAGTACCATGTCCACCTCTTCTGGCTGCCACAAGTCCTGATTTGTCAGACGGTGTGGTACTCTCTATAGAATCCAAAGAGATCTTACAAAGCCTTGCAAATACTTCCTCAAGTGTAAGAAGAGTAAAGCCACCCAATATTTGGGCTCTAACTAGTTCGTATTCTGATTTCAGCCCCACTAAGAACCTAGTGACATCCAGTTGCTCCCTTTGTTGTTGCTGAACCTTAACATCCGAAGTTAGGGGATAAGAGACATTTAATTCATTTATGAGGTTTTTCACAATGGCATAGTACTCTTCTAGGGTTTTATTCCCTTGTTGCGGATCAAAATACTCCTGATAGAGCTGATATACCCTCGCAATATTATCCTACCCAAAATAAAGCTTCTTAGCATGTTCCCATATGCCCTTAGTTGTATCTAAGAACATAAAATTGGCACTTATTTTGGGTTCCATACTATTCCATAACCATGTCATGATTTGGGCATCTTCCTGTTCCCAATCATCAAACCCTGAAGAGTCAACTGATAGTTTATCTTCCTTCACATGCTTCACTTTCCTCTTTGCCTTGAGAAAAACTTCCACCGACTTGGCTCATGGCACATAATTCTCACCATTAAATTTAATTGAAGTCATCTATACACCCAAATAGTCAGAGGGAATCACTACAGTAGTTTTCTGATCACTACAACCATCTCCAGTTGCTGCCATGATGCCCTCCCGATGCTACTTCTGATGTTGAATACCCAGTCACCAACCAAGTACTACTGTCAGGAATTTAATGTTCTAGACACTACAGCAGTCTCCAAACACAAATAATAGGTTCACAACCAGTCACAATCAATCACCACTATATAAACCACCATTCAGATTAAAGAACAAAAGGTAAACCAACATTCAGACAGCAACAAGGCAGAAAATTGATGTAGACAATTCGGCCATTCCTTCTAGCACAAAAACACAAACTTTTTGTTCTTGTTCACACCACTACTAATTACATAGAACCATAAATCACAATGACAGTAACTCAGCAACTCACTAACCACATACGAGCCCTCTTGAAGCTGCTCAATAGAGGGTGAGCATCACAAGCACCACCATACGACCATAGCCGTCACACATGGTACAGGTCTATTTGAGCTTTTCAAAGGCAATACAAGTCCAAAACCATCAACTACTACCACTGCAGTATTCTGTCAGTCAATTCAGGTCACTCGTGACCAACAAAGGTTTCAAAACCTTACAGATTTGAATCTACAGACCCACACAAAAGGGCAAACATACCCTTATATTACTCGGTCACTGTAAACACAGCCTGTTCTTGGACCTTTTTGCCAAGAACCAAGGCTACAAACAACCTAGTTCTTTAGGTTCTGATCAGTCCAAGCAGATTTTGAAGCTTTTCAACCTAGAAATACCAACAACATAAAAAAAAAAGAAACCAACCTCGATGGAGAGCTTCAGTCAACCATCCACTTAATTTTGAAGTTATTTTCTTGAAAAGCAATCAAGTTCTGAGCAGAGGAAGAAGGACCAAAGTGTTCTCAGACCTAGGTCGAGTCTGTGTTCTCCATTCTCAGTCCAGAAAAAAAAAGAGAGTCACGATCAGAGAGGAGCAGACTTAGAGAGCAACGTCCTGCTCTGATACCATGTTTGTTCAGTGGCTTCAACAGTTCGAACTAGAAGAAAGTGAAGGAGGAAGAGCAGAAGAAGAAGAAGAAGAAGAAGAAGAAGAAGAAATCGGTCGAACTTGGTAGCCTAAACCCTACCAGTCGACCATAATATAGATTAGGAGTTTAATTTAAGTACAATGACTAAACAGCCCCCACTTAAGTATGGGACAGGAAGTCTAATTAGAACTGCCACATAAGCACATAACTTAAACTGACGGAAAAGACTAATCTACCCCTCATTCGGCTAACTGTAACAAGAACCAAATCTATTTACCCTTGATAGAGTTCATAATCTCAGTTTTTTGTTTAAGTTGATTTGAGTAGAAGCAGCTAGAATCAGCCAGAACTAGTGGTAGATTCTATCTTAAAGCAATTCAAATATCAATTCCACGATCTTATATTCTAAATTTTGTTTCTGCCATGATCTTATATATCCATACATGAATGACATAACCCAGAATAACATGACTGGTGCAGTAGTCACCTTATCAAAACCAAATCAAGGTGATGGTGTGAACTTTAAAGAAGTTATACCAGATTAGGTGATCAAACCTTCAACCTCATGGATATGGCATAAAGAACATCCCAACTACAAGTACAATTTTCTTTTGGTTTTTTTGAAGCCTCCCAACTATAAATACAAGTGAATTCAACATAATGGTAATTAAATTACTTTTTTCAGAGTTCAATAGATATAACAGTTTATAACCTATCAAAAAAAATTAAATATAACAGTTTATATTTCCACAAAGCCAGAATAAAGAAAAGGAAAATAAGGAAAACAAAAATGGTGCAGGCAGTTGATAGTACTCATGAAGATATATCTTTGCCAAATAGTCCAGTTATTCCTAAACCTGGATCTTTTTGTTTAACAATTGACTCCCCAACCAAAACCTACAAAGACAACATTGAAAATTCAATTAGAACTACTAAAATGTATCTCTGTCTCAAATACAGAAATGCAACCACACAAGCATTTATATGCATACAAGCATAAATCTGCAAAGGATATACAACACATGAACTGGTGTAACATTGGATACAGATAGTGATATGGGCATACCATGCATATGCATTATGCATGCCGTGATCTACCAAGCCAAAGCAATCTCAGACATGCAATATGAACACACCAAAATGCTTATCGGGGATATGTTTCTTCTCTCAAGAGAAAATTAAGACCACATAATCGTTTATCAAAGGTAAAAGTAACATGCAGATCAGGAGGCATCTCTGGTTTCATCTTGAAAAAATCACATCAATGTGTTGGATCCTCAGGAGGGCCAGAAATGGTAGAAAACTGGACCCTGCTTGATGGTTCAATAGTTGCATCGTCAAATGGGTTCCTGAAGGCTGAAGCAGTCGAGGTTAGTCCTCAATTTTTCCATAGCCAAAACTACCTGAAAATTGTAGAGCAATTATTGACAATTCGGTGATTTTAATTTTCTATGTCATTTTCTGTTTCAATCTTTTACTTCTGTAATCATGGTTTTATATACTAACAGTCAAACCACTGAAGTATGACTTGCTAGTCTCAACAGTTTTCTGTCCAGATCAGGTTTTCACAGCTAGCACCAAAACAGGTATTGCCATTTGGAGCTCTGAAACAATCAATACTCACAATCAATATACAGTTTTGTTGTCTTACCGCTTTAACTCCAGCTTCTTGTACATAAGCTATGTCAGCTGGAGTAAACAGCCCAGATTCCCCAACCACCTGAAGAGTCAAGAATAACAAAAATCAAATCCCATGGTAACACAAAACATAACAATACTTGTAACCTTTACCCACCCAAAAATTTCAAAAAACTGAAGGAAAATAAGGGAGATAAATTTGCTATACCTTAAGATAATAATGATATGGGTGAAAAGATTACTTACAATTATGTCTTTCTGCCGGATCAATTTGCCACGCTCTCCCTCAAGAAGTTTCTTTGTGTTGCTAATGTCAACCTCAAATGTTTCTGTGGATAAGCCAAACAAAAAGTTTAATTGTCAATGTGACAACTAAATGGAGAGAGGTACACATCTAAAATGTTAGTGTATGTTATCAGTGGATGGCATATGATACATGGTATTCATTCCCTCATGTCAATACCTAAAAGAGCAGTGGAATGTGTTGAAAATCCAGCTATATATATTTCTAAAATAAGGTTAAGTAAGGAATGAATAAAGTATGGTAATGCATATTTGGAAGTTTATCTAACTAAAAAAGCTTCAATTGTTTGGACACAACCATCATAAAAGAAGATAGCTAAAAAAATTCCAAAAGAAAATAAACCCCAGATATCATTGTGATATGGCAATTTTAAACACTTTTTTTTTTTGCAAAAGAAGGATGAATACTTAATAATATTTAAAAATGGATCAAACATAAGTCAAATAGATTTTATCCTTGCTAAGAAAACCAAATGAATGATGTGTAAAGATTGCAAAGCTATTCCAGTAGAAAGCTTAACAACACAACATAGATTAGTGGTGGTAGATGTGCTCAATAGGAAATGGAAGAGAGATAGGTGTCCAAGAGTTAGGTGGGAAAACCTAAAAGGAGAAAAGCTAGTTCAATTTAGAAACATGTTGATAATAGAAGGGAATTGAAATTTAGATGAAAAGATTAATGATATTTGGCTTGAAATGGAAAACAACATAAATAAAGTAGCAAAGGATGTCTTAGGAGAATTTAAAGGAAAATGGAAAAGTACTAAAGGAACTTGGTGGTGGAATAAAGATGTTCAAAATATAATCAGATTAAAATGAGCATGAATGGCAAAAAACTAAAAATGCAAAAAATTGGGAAAAATATAAAACCATAAGATAAGAAGTTAAAAAGGAAGTGAGTGAAGCTAAATGTAGGGCCTGTGATGAGTTTTACCATAAATTAGGCACTAAAGAGGGAGGAAAAGGAATTTATAAACTAGCAAGCTGAGAGAAAGGAGAGGCAAAGATCTAAACCATGTTAGGTCCCTAGGTGCATTAAAGATGGAAATCAAAGAGACTTGGTAAAAGATGAGGAAATTAAATAAAGATGGAAAAAATGTTTTGAAAAATTATTAAATGAACAACAGGGAGAGGGTGCTAATGGAGGATGTAGAAACCACTGATGTGGTCCCCACCTCTTTCTATTGTACTCGTGTACAACTACTAGTTATTTAAGTGTCAGTCCACAATTAGTTGTTAGTCTCTTATTAGGACTTTAGTCTTGTCTTTTAGCCTTTTATTAGGACTTTAATTGTTGTCTTTTATTACGATTTTGCCATGTAAGCAGTCTTATCCTTACTTCAGAATTAATATAAATAGAAAGAGGGGGGTGGAAGATTAAGCATCCTCTTCTTTTCTGAAATCCTTCCTTCGAAATCTTCTTCTCTTCTTTTCTCTTTCTCCTCTCAT